ATACTTACGTCATACTGATGACAACACGATATTCTATCATTAAAATTTTTTTTTTTAAAACATTCTTTTGGAAATGTTATGTTTCGGCTTGGGTCTAATTGTCCACGCTCAACTAACGTTGGCTGTAATTGGCCACGGTGAATGCATTTATGATACGTAGTTTGAGCGATTTTATTTACTACTACACACTAATATAAACTACACTATACACTACACTATACACTACACTATACACTACACTATACACTACACTGTTACTATACACTATTACTATACACTACACTATTACTATACACTACTATACACTACACCAGCGGTCGGCAACCTATGGCTCGCGAGCCATATATGGCTCTTCCGGTGACGGCATATGGCTCCCAGACAAATTTGAGTTGAAAAAAATAATAATAAAATAAAAATAAAATGAGTTTGGAACTGATTTTAAAATACTTGTGATATTGCTTAATAATACTGTGTCATTTTAAAGTAAACAGAAATTAGTTTTGAAGATAAAATTTCTCGGGTCACGGGTCCCGTGACCAGAAGTCGCATTAAAAGTAAGACATATTTAATTTATGATACGTTTAAAATACTATATGGCTCTCAATGAAATATATTAAGAAAAATTGGGCTTTTATGGCTCTCCCAGTCAAAAAGGTTCCCGACCCCTGCACTACACTATACACTACACACTAAACTATACACTACACTATTACTATACACTACGCTATACACTACACTATACACTACACACTAAACTCTACACTACACTATCTATACACTACGCTATACACTACATTATACACTACATTATGATACGTAGCTTTAGCGATTTCATTTCAATGTTACCACGATACGATACGTTCAATGCATGCTAAAAGTTTATTTTTCTAGCAGATAGGATTGTTTCCTGAACAAACTTCATATTAATTTGCAGTTCATATAGGTTAAGAATTTACCTTGGTTTTTTTTTACTTTAAATGTTACTGTGCAATACAGTCTTGTAATTAATAAACACACAGGATATAGTCTATACAGTACGCTACTGTAACTTGCTCTGTTTTGCTAGATTACCACCACCCTGTAAGACTCCTGGCTAGGCTAGAGGCCATCTTCGACTTACGATATTTTCGACTTACGATGATAGGGTCGTTGTAACACATCTCCATCGTAAGTAGAGGACTGCCTGTATAGAAATAGAAGTGACATTCAGATCGACATCACATGCCACCCTCCATCTGCACTGCTCCTTCTGCTGCTGCTGAGTTCAACAACTCGGCAGAATCAGTGTCACCGCCACGCAAAGTAGAGGAAAGGTAAAACCATAATTTACATGTATTTATAAATACTTATTCAACTTCACTAATTCGTCATCTATATACAGATAACATGAAAACACGATCTTGTTTATCGATATACAGATACAGCTAAACTACGTGTTATCCATATACAGATAAAACTAAACTAGATTTAATCGGTATACAGATAATTGATATACTCTTAGGTTTTTTTGGTAAAATTACGTAGGTAAAAAGTTATAAATTATAATAAACGAAAATAACTCAATTGTGATAATTTAGTTATTTTTCATTATATATTTCTTATTTTTTCCTACGTGACTTTACCGAAAAACCTAAGAGTATGAATCCTTGCAGTTACGAAAGCTTCAAATCTCAAAGAAAATTGACGTATTTTTAAATCCTTTATATTAAGTTCACTTGCCTGCTTGCGCGCTTACGACCGTGCAAATCTTTCGGTCGTTTTTTAACCCACTTCCCGTGATCCAATCGAGCTGACATTTTGCACACAGACTCGTTGTGCGTGACAATTAATGTTCGTTTTTACTTTGAGCGTATCGTGCTTTTGTATTGAATGTTCTCATGTCCTGACCCCGTGACCTTCCTCGGCGTTTGTGTAAAAGATCTTGATAGCTCACCGGAATGAAGACCTTCATCTGTGTTTCTAAAACACCTCAATGCTTCTAGATTTGAAGCATTCGTGACTGCAACGATTCACACTCTTAGGTGTTTTCGGTAAAGTCAAGTAGGGAAAAATAAATATTAAATAATAAAATGATGGAAATAATAAAATTAATTAAATTATATAAAATAGTCTAATAATTATCATTTTATTAATATTATTTCTATCATTTTATAATTTATTAATTATTATTTATTTTTCCCTACGTGACTGAAATTCGCTGCCTGGATGGCTTTTAGTAGACAAACAACACGTCACAGATGTTCCATTGTAAGACCCCCAAATCTCCCTCCCATCCTTCCCCTCCTGCCGCCCCTCCCTCTCCTACTCCCCCCTCCCTCTTGCTCCCCCCCTCCCTCCCACCCCTCCCCCTCCCTCCCACCCCTCTCTCACCTCCCTCCCTCCTCCCCTCCCACCACTCCCTCCCTTCCACCCCTCCCACCCCCCTCCCTCCCTCCCACCCCTCTCTCCCTCTATCCCTCGTCCCCTCCCTCCCACCTCTCTCTCCCCTCCCTCCTTTTTTTAAACGATCAGACGAGAAAGATGCTCAGTCTTTCGGCACTTTACTTCGTTCATCATGTCGTTTGTTTGTATTTTTCTTTTAATCAAAAATTTAACGCGAGTTTCCCGTGTAACATTAGTCCCATTGTGTGTTACGGTGTTCATAGACACCAATAAGAAAACAAATCATCCTCAAAATACCCATCACCAGATCCCCCTCCCTCCCTCCCTCCCTCCCCTCCCCTCCCTCCCCTTTTTTTCGTACCATTCTTTCATTAAATTTCTTCTAAATCCGTAAGCAAGCTTGAACATTACAGTAAAAAAAAGATCAGCTGCAATACACAGTAACTACTTACTGCAGACCTTGGCATATCAGGTGACCAAACACAGCACTGAGTAAACAACCAGCACACGGGGATGGTTGGTACCCAAAGCATGTAGTACCTCGGTAAGCAATGGCAGTGAGCACACCCTCATGGGGAGCCAACCCAACGCCCAGTAAGATACACCAGACTGCTAAGGATGGCCAAACAGGCAAACAAAAAAACCTCTTACAAAAAAAACCTGCGGAAAGTACTGCTCTCTCCTTTCCACAAGCAGGTACACAGCATAAAATTAAAATCAACAAACATTCTCAAAATTCGGCGCATATACACACAAATTACATAGGATCTGGTTGTTGTACATTAGGTCTACTCAGATTCTATTGGCCACTGTGATACAAAATATTCCACTATTAAGGCATTTATGGTTACAATGTTCGTCATTCTCATAGGCGCCGCAAATGTTGCAGCGCTTGCAATCAATGCACTGCCAACGGTAAGTCTTGATGGCGGTGCTCATGTTTGAAGTGTACTCCAAACAGGACGGGTGTGCAGAAACTCCACAATCGGAACAGGAAACCAATTCTTCCGGTGTCCCGTCTCCTTGTTCTCCAAATCGCAGTAGTTGCTAGGGTTTGCCAGCCCATCAGGACTTTTTTGGCTTTGAGGTCCTCCGAGCGGCGCGTGACAGGTGTGGCGGGCCACGAGTCCTTGTCCTCGCCCTCCTCATCCACTAAGCGGCTGTGCGTGTAATGACAGCCCGGCCCAGGGCGGTTCTTGTACCGCTTCCCGCAAAGGTCGCAGATGTCGCCTGCAAACGGCTTGCCTTTATCCTCCTGTGCCGCTGCTTCATTCTTCTTCCTGGTCCCCGCTGCTGCCTTGCCGGGGTCCTGTGTGGGCTCCTCCGTGCTCTTGGCTGCTCGCGTTTCCTGGGAGCCCTCGGCCCCCTCGCTGGGCGCGTCGTCGAGGTCTGAAGTGCGACCCTCTTCACTTGTGTCTTCGCCACTTCACAGATTGAGGTTTCCCTCGCTTCCATCTCAGGCTCCAGATTTTCAGCCCCGCCCCTCACTCCCCCCTTCCCTCCCTCTCTACAACGTGCTCCAGGACGCGCTCGAGAGAGACAGAGAGAACGAGAGACGACGAGGAGGTGGTGGTGGTGGAGGAGGTGGTGGAGGAGGAGGAGGTAGTGGTGGTGGAGGTGGTGGTGGAGGAGGTAGTGGTGGAGGTGGTGGAGGTCTCCCAGGGCGCGGCACTCTTGGCACAGCGCGGGGCTCCAAACTATTCATTTGCAACCACGAGGCCGCGGGACTGCGGTGAGAGCCCCAGCAGTAGCAGCAGCAGCGGCAGCAGCAGCAGCAGACAAGGCGGCAGCAGCAGCAGCAGACAAGGCGGCTTGGCAGCTCGGTGCGAGTGGTGTGCGCCTCTGCAAGCGCGCTTCAACAATCGGCGTGCCCCGTTGCTTGGCCCCTGGGTTTGTGTGTGAGGAGGGCTGCTGCTGCTTGCTTGTGTCTTGGTACTGGCCACACACACGCACACACACATACGGACAGAGACGGAGGGACACACGCGCACGTGCGCAGCCTGCAGCATTCGCCGACAACTCAGCCACCACCAACAGCGATATCATTATCAGCAGCGGCAGCACCACCACCATAACAGCGACAGCGGTGGTAATAGCAGCAGCAGCACCACTATCAGCAATACACAATCACCATCAGCATCAGCAATATACAATTACAATCATCACCATCAGCAATACACAATCACCATCATCACCATCAGCGATACACAATTACCATCATCACCATCAGCAATACACAATCACCATCAGTATCACCATGACCAACACAAAATTACCACAAACATCACCACAAGCATCATCATTAGCAGCAACACAATCGCCATTGTCACCACCAACACCACCACCAGCACCATCCGCAACACGATCGCCATCTGTACCATCATCATCGGCTGTAGCAGCGCCATCGCCACCACCGCCACCACCATCGTCAGCAGCTTTAGCGTCACCACCATCCAGCAGCAGCAGCAGCACACAGCCGGGCACCCAGCTGACATCTTGCGGCGGCAGCAGCATGGGGCGAGATTGTCGCCACCTGGAACCATCTCCTCGCCCATCGGCGGAGCGCGCCGCTCTCCTCATCACCGCCGCCGCCGCCGCCGCTGTCCGTCAGCATCCTCCTGCTGCTGCTGCTGCTCCTGCTGCTGCTGCTGCCTCAGCCGGCAGAGTCCTGCGGACCTGGTAGCTTGAACGGGGGCCAGCGGCGCCCGGCGCGCAAGCTGACGCCGCTCGCCTTCAAGCAGTTCGTGCCCAACGTGGCCGAGAGGGCGCTGGGCGCGAGCGGCCGCTACGAGGGGAAGATCGCACGCGGCTCCGAGAGGTTCCGGGAGCTGACGCCCAACTACAACCCCGACGTCGTGTTCAAGGACGAGGAGGGCACCGGGGCCGACCGCCTCATGACGCAGGTGAGGAGGGTGCCTTGATTGGGGCGGGGGGGGATTAGGTGAGGGTGAGGATGGATGATGGTTATGATGATGGGGATGAGGATGTGGAGGAAGATGATGATGGCGAGGAAGATGATGGCGAGGATGATGATAGTACTGCTGATGGTGGCGCTGGTAATGATACTCCTAAATGAATATAACATGATCATTAGTGATGATACTATTAATAATGATATGATCAATCTAGATTTGAAGTTTTGTGACTGCAAGGATCCATACTCTTTGGTTCTTTCGGTAAAGTCACGTGGGTAGAAAATTCATAAAATCATTAATTTATTTTATACCTACGTGACTTTACCGAAAGAACCAAAAAGTGATGAAATGATCATCAGTGATGATACTCCTAATGATGAAATGATCATCAGTGATGATACTTCTAATGATGAAATGATCATCAGTGATGATACTCCTAATGATGATATTATCATCATTTTTATGATCAGTGGAAACAAGAAGATGCTCGGTGTAGTCGGCACTTTGCTTTGTTCACCATTTCGTTTGTTTTAATCTTTGCTTAATGTAACCCCCGCTCTCTCGCTCTCTCTCGTTCTACACGCAGCCCGTGTCTCCCTCTCTTTCCGTCTCTCCGTGTTGGTCTCCATATTTCTCACTCTTCCCCCCTCCTCCTCCTCCCTGTAGTTCCCCTCTCGCCGTCTCTCCGTGTATCGCTCCCCCCTCTCTCCCTATTCTCATTCTCTCTCCATTTCTCCCTCTCATCGTGTCTATCTCTGTCGATGTCTCCTTCTCTCTCCTTCTCTACCCTTGTTCTCCCCGTGCATAACCCCCCTCCTCTTCCCTCGTCTCTCTCCATCTCCCGCCCGCTCCATCTCTGCCCCTTTGTCTCGTCATTTCACCCCCCTCCACACCCCATTGTTTACCCTACTGCCATCTCCCTTCTCTCTCGCAATTTACTGTCTCCCCGTGTCTCCCCGTGTCTCTCCGTGTCTCTCCGTGTCTCTCCGTGTCTCCCCGTGTCTCCCCTCCACTGTACCCTTCTTTCCTTCCTTTCTCGCTCCATCTGTCTACCTCCCACCCCACCCCCCTTTGTATTTCTCTCCCCAACTCCTTGTTTCTCTCTCGCTCTGCCTCTCTCTCTCCCTCTACTCTCTCCACCTACGCCACCCACACACCCTCCTGTGTCCACCTCTCACTGAACTCCGGTCCCTACACTTGGGAGCCGGACAAGCCCCTCTCTGCACCAGCGTGGACAGCACCCTCGTGGTGTTCACCTTCTGAAGCGCTCGCTCGTCACCGTGGCGTGCGCGATGACCACCACCACCACCACGTGACTTTTCTTTCGTGTTGTGCGCGGCGCATTTAGCGCCACAGCACGTGGATTTGTAGCGTTTATTTTCATTCATTTGCTGGTGACTTTGTGCATTTCATATCGGAGTCGCCTCCAGCGCTGTGCTGCTGCTGGCGGCAATAAAAGTTGTTTAAAAAGTCAAAAGTCTGCCCCGTCTCTCCCCTCTCAACTCTCTCTTCCGTCTCTCTCCGCTCGCTCGCTCGTGCTCAGCGCTGCAAGGAGCGCCTCAACTCGCTCGCCATCTCCGTGATGAACACGTGGCCCGGCGTGAAGCTGCGCGTGACCGAGGGCTGGGACGAGGACGGCCACCACTCGGAGGAGTCGCTGCACTACGAGGGGCGCGCCGTGGACATCACCACGTCGGACCGCGACCGCGACAAGTACGGCACGCTGGCACGCCTCGCCGCCCAGGCGGGCTTCGACTGGGTCCACTACGAGTCCAAGTCGCACGTGCACTGCTCCGTCAAGGCCGGTGAGCGCGTTGCGAGCGACGAGTTATTCGTGGTGGACCTCCTTTGCCAGCACCACAATATACTAATAGGGGTTTCCCCTTTTTTCTGGCAACAAAAAATGCCACCTTTTGCAAGGAATCGTGCTTACATTAGCCACAATACTCGCAGTCGAATGCCGCCTTTTGGCGTCATCTGGTCGAACACTGTATGAGACTAGGCTCTAAAGAAGGCTGTCTCTGGTGTGGACCAATCATTTTCAAAGACAATTCATACATTATCAGAGTATTGTTTTTTGTTTTGCATTTGACTGCAAGTATAGTGGTTAATGTAAGCATGATTCCTTGCAAAAGGTGTCAGTTTTTGTTGCCAGAAAAAAAGGGGAAAACCCTATTGGTAGAGTTATTCGTGGTTCGTGATGTCGAACCGGTTAATCGATTGATAATAAAAAAAAGTGTGTTTAGAAGAACAAGAAGAAAACAACTACATTTGGCGTTTTGTCAATGACAATATTTCTGTGGCGTATGTGGGCGTTGCAATTAAACGAGTGCGCGTGCGTGTGGCGAACTTCTTTCGCACCGTACGTAGCCAACCGCACTAATCGGAGGTGTGGGGGCAGGACAACAAACGTGGTGGCCCCACGGCCATCGCTCCACGGTAAGTGATGTGTGTGTGTGTACTGTATGTCGTAGGCGACGTTTCGGGCAATGGTCCTACTTCACGTGCTGCGGTAGACTATTCAGTAGTAAACAAGTAAGCCGTGTCTCCTTCACATATCCGACTCGCTTAAAAAAACATCACAGCCATAAAACAAATACCTTGATGTTTCATGCGTAGAGACGGATATGCGATGAAGGCGACTGTGTGTGCTCATCTCATTTAATAAAAACAATTTAATTCGTGTTCTCCCACAAGCAGCTCACGATCGAGCCGCAGGGATATAGCTCCGTGGCCTTCAGAGGCAAAAAGTGTCCTCAGGCGCCGTGGCTACACACGAGGGGGGGGGGGGGGGGGGTGGCCAGCACCACGCCCGACAGGCGATGTTTACACACTCTGTACCAGGTACTCATTTGAGGCTGAGTCGACCTAGGGGGAGGCTCAGAACCGGTTCCGTTAATCGCCAACTGGTGTTGGCCGTGAGCGGGAATCGAACTCGGCTCGCTGGGTTCGTAGCGCAGCGCAGCGCCAAACACAAAGAAACAGATCCCCCGTATAGTCTTCAACAGGCTGTAGGGGCAAGTGCTGTTAGCGAGCACCTATGAAGGCCGGCGTGTCACACGAGGGGGTGGGTGGCCAGCACAACGCCCCGCCGCCTCTGTCTCCCGAGTGGCGATGTTTACACACCACATCAGACATACTCATTTGAGGCTGAGTCGACCTAGAGGAGGAGGACTTGGACCGGTTCAGATAATTGTCACCGGTGTTGGCCGTGAGCTGGAATCGAACTAGTCTAACCGGGCTACACGAACACGGCGGCGCTAACCACACACATACACACATACACACACACGTGTGTGTGTATGTATGTGTACATGTACACACATACACACATACACACACGTGTGTGTGTGTGTGTACATGTACACACACACACACACACGTGTGTATGTGTGTGTGTACATGTACACACATACACACACACACACGTGTATGTGTGTGTGTACATGTACACACACACACACACACGTGTATGTGTGTACATGTACACACACACATACACGCGCCCTTCATGTGACCCACGCTGTATTTGTCCACTCGTGTAAAAGTGACGCTTCTCTTGTTTCCTGTTGAGTGTTTAACCTTCGGCAGCGACTTTCCGCACCGCGTGGGGAGTCACACTCCGTGCGACTGACGATGTTGCTCCGCTGGCCGTAGCCGCTGTCGTCACCGTTGTCACTTTGGAGCGCTGTCGCGACGGCTCTCGACACTGCACGGCTCTCGCGCCTGGCCACCTGAGTTCGAGCCCCGGTCTCGGCTCGAACATTGCTGGCGAGTGACGTCGGGACCGCACAATCCCCCAACTTCTTCCCCAACCGGCGCTGTCCAGAGTGCTGAAGTTGCGAGGCTTGGGGCTGACTGTGTGCTCCATGCTACGCCATTTACCTGTGTTGAGAGCCCCCCTTTTTGTCGTCGTTGTTGTTGTTGTTGTTTTCGTAACGCATCTGCAAACACAAAAGCATAATGTCGAGCAAGACCAGAGTGGTTATTGACGCATGTGTTGAGTTGTCGTCGTTGTCGTTGTTGGTGTGTGTTGTTGTATATGTTGGGTATGAAAATTTGTTATGTTGTATGCGTGCGTGGGTGAAATTATTATGTTGTATATGTGGGTTATGAATATTCAGTGGAAATAATAATAATTAAATGAAATTTGGCCAAATGTGTAATTATCCGGAAATATGTTAATTTATGTAATTACGCACATTTTAATTATGCCAATTCGAGAGGTAATCGTATTAATTATGCGAGTGGGTGTAATTATGATAACGCAAGTCGTTATGATAACCAGACCCCGGTTCACCCCGTTATCGCTTTAACATTTACTGAGTATGTATTAGTGTGTTTATTAAGGTCACCAAGTTCAAATCTCAACGCAGAAGCAGATCTTATGCATAGATTTCAGGAAAGAATCACACAACCACTTCTGTATTGATCAATTTATTACTAATTCAACCTTAACTATGATATAATATGCGAACTCTCAATCCCGGAACGTCAACACGGCATCAATACAGTATCATCAACGATTGTCTGATTTCACTTTGACAACTGCACATGGATCACGCATAACGCGATGGTTGTTAGTGAGAGAGAGAGTCGTTAAAACACGCAAATACTATGCTTAAGAAAACCTTAATGTTAATGAATGATTATACTCAATATTGTTCACGCAGTACCACACTCCTTATTGACCATACGCAACCCTTATCACGTTGTTAACACCTTGGGTCACGGGACAGTTGAATATTCTGTAGAGGATGCGAGTACGTGCGGCGATTATGACTGAAAGATACTTGAAAGATTATACGGCGATAAAAAAAAACACAATCAAAAACAGTTATTATTCTTAAAGGCACCAATCTCAACAGATACATCGGCAGGTTATCTGACAACAGAACGGCTCGGAGTAAGGGCCTGCGACGGTGCTCCTTTTCCGAAGCTCGTTATCTTATACCAAGTTTACTAATTGGGGACCAGATCACCTGATAAGGATCCGGTGGGCCACCACTCCCCACGTGAGCGTGGCTCGGCGGAAGGAGGTGCCAAGAATCAGTTCGTATTGATGGATCTGTTGGGAATTTATGCGATTAAGAGTACAGCCCACTAAATATTAAAGATAAAAATTAAGAATACTCTTATAAACGACGGAGGGCCATCACTCGGTCTCGTTGTGATGCTTTCCAGCCACGGATGGCTTATGGGTTCGAGTGTTTTTGAGTGGTAAGAGTTGTCTTGAATAGTCAGTGTTCGGAGTCGATTCTTTAGGTCAAACAGACGCCTGGTGGTCGTGTGGTGAGGGGGCGGTGCGCGTCATACGTATCAGTTGATCCCCTGTCACCGTGGCGAACTGGTTCGGATGCCCGTTGATACGCTGTCGCAGTTCGGAACCCGGTCGGTAGGTGGCGCCCACAACTCGCTCGTAGCGTGCAGCTCTGGGTTGTCGCCGATCCGCGATGCTCACCACTCCGGTGGCAGCAGAGACCCCCGATTCGGCAGAGGTTGACGAGCTGAAGATGAGTCGAGCCGACCCGCTGGTCGCAGCTCGCTCCTGAGTCGACCCTCCCGGTCGAGCTCGCTCCTGGGTCGACCCGCTGGTCGCCCTCGCTCCTGAGTCGACCCTCTGGTCGCACTCCTGAGTGGACCCGCTGGTCGCACTCCTGAGTGGACCCACTCTGGTCGCACTCGTTCCTGAGTCGACCCTCCCGTCGCACTCCTGAGTGGACCCTCTCGTCGCACTGACTTCCAATGCTCAGGATCCTTTACTTTATGCCGAAAAAATCCCCCTGGATCCCGCCCACAAGGCGGGGCTTCTTCCGATTTTTGCTGTGTCAGGATCTGTCCGTAGGCAGGTGTGTCCATGTGTCTGTCCGTATGTCCGTGTGTCCTTGTGTGCATCACTGACGGTATATTCGTTGTCACACTCCCTCCATAAACCCACGAGCAAACAATCAGATGTTACAAATTGCCTCGAGGTCGTCTCTCTGTCTGGGTGCAATATTATCTCTTGTCTGGCCTTCTTCATGAACCCAAAACACAGACGTTACAAATGTCTCATAGGCGTCTTTGTTCGTGTTGCACAACCTGGAGGGAGGGGCAACACTCTCTCCGACCCGGCGCACAAAGAAATGGTTAAAAAGTTTTAAGTTAACATTTGTCCCTTACTATTTCACAGTTATGATTCTGTATGTAACCTAAGGTCTGTCGTTTCCCATCGTGGTGCTTGACTCAAGTGTAGGTGTTTCCCCGAGCGTATACACACTCCTATCCCGCGCTGCGGGGATACAAAGACGGCCGGGATCTCCCTTTCTCTCCGACCCTGGGTTTCACATCGTTTTTTTTATTATGTATTTATATTCGACCTGGTGGTGATTCATCCCGTTATCCTGGCTTTTCATAAGTTTTACTTTTGTCTTTTCATGCATATGCTTCGGGTCGAGTTGTATAGAAAGCATTAAAGTATGGAAATAACATTTCATATTGACTTAATGATGGTGATGGTTCAGTAGGCGTACTTGTGACCTGGTTTAATTGGAGTGGGTGTGAATATCAAACTTTAGCCTACCCTGTTGTTAAATTCCGACTTTAACGTTACTTTAATAGCAATACAGAATAATTGAGCTTTTTGTCTTAACTAGGCGAACGCGAACTTCTGGTGACCCCCGCAGCCGTGTTATTTAGCTGGGTCTGCCCGCCTTGAGAGATATACAACACTTTTTTTAAATCAGCTCTCCCCTGTCCCTCCAACCTTCTGCTCTGGGAATGTTATTCTTAATTTCAGGTCCAAGGCCTCTTTGGGTTTATCTTT